GACGGGTTCCTGCAGGTGTCGATAGAGGGCCATGCAGAATAAACCAGTCGGGGTGATTTCACAGTTACAGAGGATTTCGCGCTAACACCTCCATTTCGCGAAATTTTGTATTTTATTTGAACTACAAAAATAAATAATCGCCCCGACTGCGCCAGTCTACCAACGATCATGCGTACTTAGATCACAGACGTGATGACGAAATAGAATGGACCACTATTTGAAAGACAAAAAACAAGTCAAACAAGTTATTTTCAAAAACGCTCTTAATGACGCCAGTTTGTTTTTAGTTATGAAACAATCTTGCTGGTATAACAATGTGTCTGATTGGTTGCAAACTACTGAATTTAAACTGTTGTGTTAATAATTGCTGTTTTATGTGCCGTGTTTGTGAGAGAGAGAAGTAATTACACAACAGGCTATCAGTCGATATATGTCAGGTATGATTTCGGAAGATGCACTTGATTTGTAATAGCTGAAACGTTAAAGTTACTCGTTAAGCAACATAATATATACTGTAAAATACTCGATTTTCGAATTTTGGAATTAATTTTTCGCTATTTTCACTGAAGGGATGATTCCGTGAAAGTAAAATCCGGCAAACATGCCTTTCTTTTTATATTTTACATTCAAATAATCAAAAATCAGTAAACATAAATACCACACAAAACTCCCAAAATATCTTTTCAGCGAAATCCAGCAAAAATAAATTTTAAAAATAAATTTTAAAAATAAATTTTAAAAATAAATTTTAAAAATAAATTTTAAAAATAAATTTTACAATAGTACTGATGTGTTTTATATTACGATCAGTATATGCTACTCACATAATGAAATTACGAAACACCGAAAAGTTAAAGCGCGGGAGTCGTCACCTGCGCATGCGTCAGATGGCCATAGCGTGTCATTGTTTACAAACAAGCGTCTACCCACGACGTTTTTAGAGTGTGTTGTTATCGTCACTAGGGACTCAATCCCCACGCGTGCGCAGGCGACGACCCTCTTCGCTTTAACGGACACTATAACTGTATACCAGTTATTCAACAAACGATTCAGTTATATTTTTCCTGTGTAAATTTTTTCAGTGAACACTGAACGGCTTTGGGTTTATATTTCACGTATATCAGGTTTTATGACGTTGATAACATTTTAGTAATTGAACATACTTATAGTTTTGAATTTTCTAATCGCCAATTGTACCTTATTTGGGTGATTGCAAATGCTGTGACGTCACACTCCTTCACGAGTTTCCACGCATTTTACATGTTTTAGTTTTATCAACTATCACGGTACAAATAAAGTCGCGTTGTGCGATTTAATTCACCGAAGCAATGGGATATGAGGTTATTGTGAAGATACCTCAAAGTATGCACGAAGGCAGTACAGCGGAGGCGTAATGTCTATCATTATACATCTTTCCTTTCCAAGGATACATCATGGGGATGCTGAAATCCAAAAATTTTAGAACAGAATCAGCAAACTTTTTTGTGTTGAGTCCGGTCACACCCTGGTGGTAGCCATGTTTGTTTTTATTATTAGAGGAAGCTTACGCGCGTTATCATTCCATATTTGGAATTCGTATTTCCTTATATAGTAGGATGTATAATAATTGATAAATAATACTATTGCGATTGTGGTTAATTACTCTCTGTGACCGAATATTTCAATGACCAACAACGAAATACGTAGGGGCACCCAAACACTGCATACTTGTTTGCTCTTTGTCATGATTAAACAAATCTTTATTTTTAAAGTTCAATTTTTCATTTTCAATCTATATTCAGTTTGATCAAACTATTAATTGCAATTGATGTTAATTTTGTTTTCAATAGACCAACATCAGTCATGAAGTTCTGGATTGCTGACATATTTCTGCTAATACTAGTCATATCCCTACTCCGTGTGTGCAAATCCGATGTTTGCACTGTCACGAAATAGTGAGTATTCCCAAACAATATCGAATCAAATGGCCGTCCAGATCTCGTTGAAAGCGAGAGAGCAACGAGACTTATTTCGGTTCCTCAAATAGTGTTTCATTCTCCCCGCCTTTGTAATCATGGCAATGACGGGTGAGAATATAACACTGTTCAAGAAACAAATACAAGTTTCGTGGTTCTCTCGCGCTAAACGTGATCTCGGCGACCATTTGTCTCTGACAAGAAATGCGTTAAATTGGATCTTCTGTTGTTGCACAGCCTAGCCAAAATAAGAAGAAAACAAACAAAACATGATCACTGGTAATGGTAGCAACACGTGAATGTGTGACGCAAAACTAACCATTTCCCGTACGATAAAAAAAGACCCGGCGATCGATACAAGCTGCTGTTGCACGTGAGATCGTGGAAGATAATGGGAGGTGAAATCCGTGAACGGATGTGTTTTGTTTCACCTCGGTCTGAGGATTCACGCTTGTCGATCCGGGATTTTCCAAGCGCATTATATGATGCAAGGGCAATCAACATGAATGTACATGTAATCTCAGTAATTACAGTTCTGTAATAGTTGTCTAAGTAGAAAGTAATCTTGAAGAAAACATTGCAAGACAGAATGGAAAACAACCAATCGTTGAGACCGGGTTTAGAATTACAGTGTATTTATTTACTCTACGCAAAGTCACGGTGGTTAATGTCTGTGAATATATTTATTGAACATTGCAGCATGGACCACGTCACTTCAGAAGGAATTGAGCATATACCCGAATTGTATTTGGACCAGAATTGTTTATTTTATTTTACTTTTATCTTACAGCACAGATCAGTAATTATACACATAAAATACAAGAGATTAGCGCACTGAGAGACGTTGACTATCTGTATACAAGGAATGATTGACAGTTGCTGTCGCTGAATAATCAGTCAAATTAAAATACTAAGCTCCGCCCATCTCATGGTAGATACATTTCGGTCTTTAGGTTTACCACTGAAATCATTCCAAACTTCTAATTACACAGACTGAACAGTAGTTTTGCCATTGGAACATATCACACGAAACAGTACGGTCAGTTGAGGTAGTTGCACCATAGACAGTATAATAGGACGTGTTGATGTTTTGAAAATAATTGCGTGGTGAATAAAACGCGGTCCTATTGTACGACTTCAGCATTATTTTAATCAAACATTAACCTATTTTAAAGTTGAAACAACGAATTTTAATAAAATCGAATATTTCACATGATGAGCAAAATGTTTGAGTACAGCTAACATTACAGATATCAACATTT